GCCGTTTTGGCGCTGTCGGCGAGCAAACTGCGCAGCTCCACTGTTTCGCTCTGTTTGACTCCGTTTTAGCTCTGTTTTGCCCCATTTCAGTTGTGTTGTGTTCCTAACAGATAGCACTACAAAATAATCATGAAAGTAACCTTCATTTAAAGTGTAATCTCATTCGAAAATATGCAAGAAGTTTAAAAAGATTAAGCATCGAAAGACTATCGAAAGGTGACAGGGCAAAATTTCATTTCTTGCTCGTTTTTGCTCCAAATTGCACCATTTTTGCATCTTTTTGCTCCAATGACCATAATTAATCATACCTGCAATAAAACATCCAAAATACTCTTCTTTAAAGTGTAATATCATCAAAAATAGTGTAAAATAGGTATGAAAATCTCAACTTATTTTCATTTGGTCACATATCCACCTACACTCCACATCTCAATGTAACTAACCTAGTTGATTCTACCATAGCTCTCTCAAGTTGTTATGGTTTACAACACATTTTAACATTTTTCTTGGCCATAATGAAAAGTGAATGAAGATATGAAGGTTAATCATCACATTAAGTAATTAAATCAAAATAAATTTGAAAACATTTTGCACTCCTACACATCATACTCAATCATCACAAGGCAAGGTAAAGAGTATTACTTAGAAAGCATGAGGAACATAATACAAACCTTCATTTGAAAATAATAGAATTCCAATAAATGAAGTGTTTACAGAAATGCAACAAATGAAATACACAATCACTTATCTTCCTCTCATTTACAACTAAAGATGCTCCACCAAATGCTTCCTTGACTGTTGCTCATGAAGACTCTCTCTATCTTCAACTCAAGAAGATGAAGAAGGAACAAAACTCTATAGCACACACAACCTTCTCCTTACTTTTCCACTCAATTCTCCCCAAAACACTCAATATGAACTTAACTTTTATCAAACTTAGATCTACCAACATCAATCAATCAACAACCTTGATACCTACATTTTATAGACTCATGCACAACAATATAAATTCCCCCCATGAACTACTACACAACTCACCATGATTCCCCATGCCAGGCTACCCGAACTGCCAAAATTGCTCCAAGTAGATGTTGACACCTGGGCATCAATCTCTTTGTTTGCTCAAAAATGCATAGGCGCCTTGGCGCCCAAGGGTGTGGTGCCTAGGCGTCAGTATCGCAACGCCTTGATGCCAAGTGGGTGGCGCCTAGGCCTCATCCTCTCACTTTGTCAGGTCTGAGATTGGCACCCATGGGTCTGGTGCTTAGGCGCCAGTCTCCTACATGCTCCTTTGCTCCAAGTCTCCTCCACATTGCTCCACTTCTAACACTTATTGTTCCTACAATAAAAACTTGAAAATACATTTTTAAAAGTGCAATTTCATCCATAAAAATGTGAAAAACATAAAGGAATTTAAGTATTATTTTCTACACATCACTAACCCCTTATAGAAGGTCTGAAATGATCAACCACTCGGGCAGTGCATGGTGAGGGCACTTCTGAAGAAGTTCCTTAAATCATACCCAAGCTTTATAAATAGACTCACCTTCATGCTGACAAAATAAAGTGATATCATTCCTAAGTTTAGTCGTTTTTTAGGGTGAAAAATATTTTGCTAGAAATTTATGGGCCAAGTCACTCCATGTTCTAAGTGATGCCGGTGTCAATGAGTTTAACCACATTTTCTCTTTATCCCTTTAGGAGAAAGAGAAAAGTCTGAACCTAATAGTGTCATTAGAAACACCATTATGGTGAAATGTGTCACATAGTTCTAGAAAACTCGGTAAGTGAAGGTTTTTATCTTCAAATGGGGTTCCCCCAAACTGATTGTTTTGCACCATTTGGATGATAACAGACTTCAATTCAAATGTGTTGGACTCTACCACATGGGTTTGGATACTTAAATAAATTTCATCTACCGTAGGGTTAGTGTAATCTCTCAAGGGTCCAGGCGTATCAAAATGTACATGAGTTTCTTGGTTTTTTTAGGATTGTGTGCGAACTCTCCTAAGGTTGTTCATGTCCTTCTTGTTTTCTAATTCTCCTAACAGGTCCCTCTATTTCATAATCTTTGGGTTCAAGTTCAGTAGGTTTTGAACTACTCATATACGAACTATAGACCCCTTATACAAAAACTAACTACTGGAAAAAAATAACGACACAATCCTCAAACAAAACAAACTCAAAAACAAGCTAAACAACAATATAAATGGGTTGTCTCTCACAAAGCGCTTGGTTTAATGTCGTCGGCACGACATTTCTAGTCTTATTCTGGTTGACCCAACATTACTGTCTCTTTAAAAGTTGGTCTTTTCCCATCAGAATATGATTTCAATCTGTGCCCATTCACTTTAAATATTCTTCCAGTCTTGGAGTCTTCAATATTGACTGCCCCATAGGGATAGACTTTTATAACTCTGAATGGCTTTTTCCACCTATACTTCAATTTTCCAAGAAATAATTACAATCTTATGTTGTATAATAAGACTTTCTGTCCAGTTTCAAATTCTCTTTTTATTATCTTTCAATCATGTCATTCATTCATCTTTTCCTTATAAATCCTCGCATTATCGTAAGATTCAATTTTGATTTCGTCAAGCTCATTCAAATGCAGTAATTTTTTCTCACCAGCTTCTTTCAAATTGAAATTGAATTCTTTTATAACCCAATAAGCCTTATGCTCCAATTCAACTAGCAAGTGACAAGTCTTCCCAAAAATTAATCCATAAGGAGACATTCCTATAGGTGTTTTATAGGATGTCCTATATTCCCATAATGTAGTATATAATCTAGTAGACCAATCCATTTTACTAGGATTAACACTCTTCTCCAAAATTCTCTTAAATTCACTATGAGATACCTTTGCTAAACCACTCGTCTGGGAATGATAAGCAGTTGCAACTTTATGCACTATATTATATTTTTCCACCAATCTTGCAACTGTTGCATTTCTAAAATGAGATCCTCCATCGGTAATGATTACTCTTGGCATTCCATATCGTGTAAAAATATTTTTAATTAAAAATTTTGAAACACTACGAGCATCACGTCGAGGTAAAGAGATTGCTTCAATCTGTTTTGAAATGTAATCCACTGTAATCAAAATTTATATATTTTTGAATGAGGGTATGAATGGTCCCATAAAATCCAATCCTCATGCATCAAAAATTTCAATTTCCAATTAAAATTTAGAGTCATTTCATTTCTTTTTGAAATATTACATACTCTCTGACACCAATCACATGTTTACATATATATATATATATATACATACATATATATATATATATACATATCTATGTAGATATATATATATATGTATGTATGTATGTATGTATGTATATATATGTATGTATGTATGTATATATATGTATGTATGTATGTATATATATGTATGTATGTATGTATATATATGTATGTATGTATGTATATATATGTATGTATGTATGTATATGTATGTATAATTTTTTTACAGGGTAAAACTTAAAAACAATTAAACAGGAACAAGCGACACTACAAGTTTTCCAGTCTAAAACCTGCTAGTTCAACTAAATTTTTCTAATTCAAATTCACCACCGCTCTCCGACAATGGCCCAAAAAACTTGACACAAACCAATGCTACAACGCATCTGGAATGTCAATCCCACCGAGAACGAGATAACTCTTACTAAGAAAAGTTATAGCATATTGGTTTTAGTCTTAGCTTGAAAATTGGATTTTGTTATAATTCCAACAAAAGCAAATCTTAACTTATTGCAATTAACTTAAAAGGTGTCAAATACTTTAGTGATTCTTTCTTGAAACGAGTACGTAAATTTCATGAAATTAAGAATTACAAATAAAAAAAAAATAGAAACAACTTTCTTCTTTACCCCTCCTGGATGAATAAAGAAGCTTGGTTAGAAATGAATTTATTTCCATAAATCCCATGCTAACCCATCATGGTATATTTACATAATATTTACATCTCCTAACAAGATTTATCCCTATGTCTATAAGTTAATGTGATTAACCTAATTGATTCCACGATAATCTTTCCCAAGGCTTATAATTCATAACATATATTAACAAATCACATGGCAAGAATGAAATGTAACTAATATTGCCTCCTTTTCTTTGATTTCAAATTTATAATCTCAGAATTTTCTATGACAAGGTTTGATAATATATATATTTATTAAAAGTATAGAATATAAAATTATTTTTGAGAAGGTTTTATGATTTTACATCTTTGAGATGATAAACATACTTCATAGTAATTATTTAAATTAAATAAATGTGAAATATGTATTCAAATTCAAATTTAAAATCATGATATTTAAAGGTGCTAATAATGAGCAGAAGTTGAAACCATTAATATAGTACAAACTTCTATTTTTTTAAGAGCGATAAAAGATAGATTAGCATGATATGTTTTTATCTATGGATGAGTATTTGGTCAGTTTGGATAGATCAGTTTTCAAATCGGATAAATTGATTGCAATTAAAATTAAAAATCCAAAAGTATCAAACCAATCAAAATTTTGTTAAAACAAAACTGAACGAACATAAATTTAATTATATTTAAATAGTTTAGTTATGAACAAACTAAAATTGAGTTGTTAGTTAGAATTCAATTTTAGAACAAATATCAAGAATTGCGTAACTTGTATGTATAATATAGATTTATTTTCACAAATTCTCCATTTATTTTCAAATTTTTTAATTTTTTTGTTTATTTGATTAAATAAATTTTAAAATTTAGCTAATAATTAAAAATTGAATATTGAAATTTTAAAAATAAAAAATAAAAAATTAAAAATTAAAATGTATTTTTGAAATCAATAGAATCAATTAAATTTGGTGGAAATTCAATTTTTTGTTTTTATCAAATAATGCATGCCCCTATTTTTATCTAGTAGTAACCATTGTCACAATAAAACCGGCAATAATTTAGCATTGTATACTAAATAAAATTAGGTACAATATCTGCGAAACTCCCAATCAACATTTGCCTCTGAGCTGTTTGTTGGCTAATGCAAAGGTTACAAAGCGTTATGCCGTTTTCCAGCGAAGCGCCCGCCCTGAAAAAGACATGACAATTATGTAAAGAAACCTGACCTTCGCTCCTTCGTTCACCTTCCAACTTCCTCTCCAACTTCCTCTCCTCCTTTCTCTTGTTATTGTCGTGTCTTTTTACTTCCTCATTGAATCAAACAAAGAAGCCACAGACCAACAATCGTGAGGTTGTAAAGGAGGGGGTGAGAGAGTGTGTTCTAGGAGAGAATGAGCTTTCGAGGAGATGACAGCAGCGGAGAGGAGGGGCGGTCGGAGCTGCAGAAACCATTGCTGCACACGGGCAGCTGGTACAGGATGGGTATGGGCTCCCGGCAATCGAGTTTGATGGAGAAGCTCGGCTCCTCTGCCTCTGTCATTCGCGACTCTTCCATCTCCGTTGTACTCTGCACCCTTATCGTCGCCCTCGGCCCCATACAGTACGGATTCACTAGCGGTTACTCCTCCCCCGCGCAGTTTGACGTCATACGCGACCTCTCCCTCACTATCTCTGAGGTCCGTGCTCCCTCCTTATTAACAAATACTTTCTCTTCAGTTGATCAACAGTTAATGATTCGTGTTCGTTGCAGTTCTCGATCTTTGGATCTTTATCAAACGTGGGCGCAATGGTTGGGGCTATCTCTAGCGGCCAGATTGCCGAATACATTGGGCGAAAAGGGGTTTGTCGTCAATTCGTATTTTCAGATTGTTTTCTTCTTCCAATGTATCATGGACAGATACTGAGATTTTATTGATTTTTATGATGGTCTTTCGCAGTCCCTGATGATTGCTTCGATACCGAACATTATCGGTTGGTTGGCTATTTCGTTTGCCAAGGTTGGTGTTTTCTTTTTAATTGTTGATGATTGTGCTCTTAATTTCCTCTGCTAATTGTTTTATATTTATTTATTTATTGTTTTGTTTGTCCCTTGCAAATGGCTTGCAGGATTCTTCGTTCTTGTACATGGGCCGGCTGCTGGAAGGATTTGGCGTTGGCATCATATCCTACACGGTAAGCGAATATGGTAATTCTCCTGTTTCATTGGCGTTGTTATTATTTAATTAGAGTATGCAGGTTATGGTCAAGTTAGGTTCTTTATGCTAATTTCTGCACTCTGATGGTTCGTGGCTTTAGGTACCCGTTTACATAGCAGAGATTGCTCCTCGGAACATGAGAGGAGGGCTCGGTGCAGTCAATCAGGTTGGTTTTATACTGACGACTTTATCTTCTGTGGTGGAAAAATTTTCAATGTTTTCTGATTAATGTATTTTCAATGCAGTTGTCTGTAACTATTGGTATAATGGTCGCCTATCTCCTGGGCATGTTTGTAAATTGGCGGGCGCTTGCTGTGATAGGTAAAAATCATACAAATCATATTGTTTCACTGAGGACGATCTGTTTCCCTTTTCACTCAGTTTGTTCCTCCCAAGCTCAGTCAAACCAAAATTTCCTTAAATGGATTACTTAAAAGCAATGCTATTAGTGAACATTGATAATCCTTTAGAAAGAATAAAATGAACATTCAACTGCCTGTCCAGATATCAAGCTGGTTATGGGAATTTTGAGTAAACACAAATATCTATTTTCAACTTTTTTAATCTTCACGGAAGTATTATTCCTTCAAGTAAATGAAATAAATCAATATAATTTAAAGTTTTGCGTAATTTTATAAGGGTAAATGATAATAGATTTGATGTTGTTCTGATGATGCTGAAATTCAACATAATGCAGGAATTTTGCCATGCACAATCCTCATACCTGGTCTGTTTTTCATCCCCGAATCTCCGAGGTGGTTGGTGAGATTTGAATCTTAGCGCCAAGTTATTAATAAGAATAGGACTTGCCCATCCTTTCTAGTGATTGATTTGAAGTACCATCTTACATTTGCGCAGGCTAAAATGGGAATGATGGATGATTTTGAAGCATCCCTCCAAGTCTTGAGGGGTTTTGATGCTGATATTAGTGTAGAATTGAATGAAATCAAGGTATTGTAATAATGTTCCTTCATAATTCAGTAAAATGGATTAAAAAAATGCTATGAGTTGCTAAACGTCATATATTCAAATGAGATAAAACACATAGGCTGTTACTAGAGCTTTATGATTTTAATTAGGAACTTTTGTTTTATAGCGATCTGTCACAACATCATCAAGCAGAAGGACTGCAATACGGTTTCATGATCTCAAGCAGAAAAGATATAAAGTTCCTCTTATGGTAGTTCTCTTTGATCCCTGTCAATCCGGATTTTTCTTTATTTACTTTGAATTACTTATCATCTTTTTATTTGATGTAATATTTACTATTCACTGTTCTGCAGATAGGAATTGGTCTTCTTGCACTGCAGCAAGCAAGTGGAATCAATGGCATCTTGTTTTATGCTTCTAGTATCTTCAAAGCTGCAGGTAAATTTTAAGATGTACCTGCAGTTTCATTATTAGCTGGATGACTTCTGGCATTTTGACATCTAAATGTTTCTGCACTTGAAGAAATGAATGACTATGATTTACAATTTGGATGCTCTTCCGTTCTCTGCTAAATGCAGGAATTATTTTTTTTTTAATAATCATCTCCAAACTAATTCTCTCCACTAAAGATGTTTTGGCTAGAAGAGGAAATAAATGGAAAGACCCTTAGGATGGAATTATTTTTTCTAGTGTTCCAAAATGTATGAAATGATGATGTTGGATGAATGTTTTGAGGGTTACGGATTAAGGCCATCTAAAGCTTTGAACAAAAAGCTTACTAGATAATAGGAGAGTAGAAAATGTAGATGAGAAGGTGGTTCAAAATTAAGTGAGAAGATAAAGAATCAACTTCCTGAAGGATTTGCATCCAGGAGAACCTTAATTTCACACTAGGTCATAAGATTATATTTTATTCATGATATGGTTTACGGTAAGATTTTTCTTGAAAATTTATGAGCCTATTGAACACTAAATATTGGTTTCATCTTGTATTGCGTGATTTTTGGAACTGTGAAACATAAGGAGTAAAATTACAAGCTACTTTCATCGCATATGCTGTATGGATAAACCATGAGACTCATTTTATCCATTGAACAATGATAAAAAGGTTAATAAGTGGTTTTTTTAGCTTTACTCTTTTGCTACATTGAAATTGAGCTTTACAAAAGTTTTGTTGAATAGATTTGCTTCTTTGTGATTGAAAAAAAACTAAGACGCAACTAATCCCATTAATTTTAGATTTATTGCACCTTATTTACTATTATGTCGTAATAGTTGCTTAATTACATTAAGCATTACTTAGTTTCCTGAATACTATTGCTTATATTAGATATTGGGAATATCTATTATCCGTTGGATAATTTTAGGGGATGCAAATTTATTATTCTTAAAGCTTTTCTTTTTTAGGTCTCACATTTTTATTCATTTGTTGTCGATCGATCCTTTACTCAGGTGGTATTAGAGGTGATGGCAATAAAGAGAAATAAGAGTGACATTCTAGCTTGCAACGATGTTTGAAACTGGTCTCACCTCCAAAAACCTCAAGCTACTAGCCCTGCAGATGTCGGATGCCCTAGATTTGGGATTTCGACTTTCTGTTCGGAGGGTGTGATGTGACTTGTGCGATCAAACACATTAGTAATAGTGATGCCTTCTATTTAGCAACCACAGTAACGTATCTGGTACCCATACCAGACGTGGTTGGATTCTTTATTGGGGCAAATCGGAATATATTATTGATTGTTCAGTTGAATAGAATTTTAAACTTTTGGATGATGTAAATTCTGTAATCCTCCAAAATTATGATTCGACTAATTCTGTTTCTGTTTATGCTCAAACAGAGCCTTGGCTAATGGAGCATTTCATATAGGATAAAATTTTGCTGAATTTCACTCTTCTTGGGATGTATGATTATTGACTTCCGACTCTGGAACAATTAATTGTAGCTTTCCTGATAATCAGATTGAGGAAGACGTGTATTTGCATTCTTGCTCCCATGGCTTGCTGTGGCTCAATATTTCTCAAGATTCTGATACCAATTCTAGCCAATATCAGTGGAAGCCTAACTAAAATATTCTTAAAGTTTAGATGAACCATCTAAAAGTTAAGGAGTCGTTGACTCAAACTACTCCCATTACAATTCCTAGGAATAAATCTCATCTAAAAGATTCACATTTCTCTAAAATTGTTGCCTACTATAGTTTAACTGAATTCATGATTCTGAAATATCTAATAAACTACACTAGCCTGAGTTGAAAACGAAGAGGTACAACATGAACATAAAACTACCAATGGATTGCAACTGACCTTCCCTCCCAAACCGGTATGACATGCATTCAATATAGTGCATTTGGTTTTAACCAATTTTAGACAGCTACAAATATCATAATATGATAGTTCTTTTACATCCAAAATTTGATCATGGAAAAATCAAAGAAATGCTGATGAATGCTATTATGATGCATGATAATCATTTTCAAATTGTTGAACGGACTTTTCAAATGGTTGGGAGGGACAATGGTAGAACACTTTGTACAGTATTAAAGATTGGCCGGTGGGAACTTTTTGACCTAAGCATCCTTGAGGTCTTCGCTATTTACTCAGAAAATGTATGTAATGATTTGTTGAAACACATTCATGAGGAAAATACATCAACATGTGGACTAAAATTTGTTACTAGCTGCTATGGGATTATTGGTTTTGTTAAGTTCTTTGGACCATATTACAAGATTTTTATCATGAAAAGTAAGGTTGGATATTCAAAAAACAATACTGATGGCAATGGGAATTGTTTTGTTAAGCCTATCATATTTCAAACTCGTGTTATTCATGCAAATTATTATGATTGCATGGATCCCTAAAATGTTGCTTAATGCGCTTATGGTTTTGCTGCACTTAAGATTCATCTCCATGCTTTGGGACTAGTTGGTGTTCCAAAGTCCGACTTAGACGCTCATTTGACGGATGAGTTGATCGATTTCTATGTCATCCATAAAAATATCTCAATCAGATGAAAACATTCTCTATCAAGGCAACACAACTTTGTTAGACTGATGTGTGAAGTAAAATTTTTTCTAACTCTTTAGTTTCTAATAAAAAGCTCGAAGTTCCATTTGACAAAAGACTTTCTAACTTGAACACAGGGGCTTCAACTTGTAAGAAATATGAATCATATAGCAAATATAATTACTCAATGCCTTGTAGGAAGCTTTTTGTAGAGAATGGACTTGGTTGCGTTAGTGAACTTGAGTTTGAGGCGTCGACGCCTTCAATTTTTTTTAACCTTGATTGGCTTTTATCTTTTGGAATTTTATTTTGACGATATTACAAGAGGTCTATAGTTCCAAATATTTTTTTTTTTTTGAAATTATTTTTTGTTGCCGAGCACCTAATTTAAGTCCGTCTTTGAGTGAGTAGGATTATGACGAAAAGAGAGCAAAAGACCTAGCAACTAATGATAAATATTTCTAACTGAAGCCGATTTCTTTTGAAACGGAAGGGATTTGATATAGCCAATCTCATTATTCTTACATTTATTACATATTTACTATTGTCCCCTACTAGTTGCTTAATTACATTAAGCATTACTTAGTTTACTTGACTATTGTTTTTTTTATATGTTGTTGGTTGTATTAGATAAAAGGAGTATATATTATCCATTGGATAGTCTTAAGGATACAAATTTATTATTTATGGGAAATATAAAAGGAAGCTTTTCTATGTTTTCTCTTTTCGGTCACACGTTTTTCTTCTACTATCGATCAATCCTTTACATCAGTTGTAGAGTTGCCTTTTTGAGTCCCTATGGCTGCTTTAATGAACATTTTTTAGGAGTTTGATTGTTGGTCATTTTGCTTCGTTAGTGGGCTGGGTTGGGGATGATAGCAATGCTGGTGAATTTAATGTGCATTTATTTAATATCTTGAAGCTCTGATTGGTCAATATTAATTTTCTTAGAAATTTTTTTGTTTAAAATAAGATTTTAAAAAAATAAATAAAAATTTGAAACATTTTGACTTAGTGAGGCAAGACGTAAGATTCAAGGTTCAAAAATGAAAACAATAATTTATAAAATAAAAAGTGATTCATCCACTTGCATCCCATGGATGAAATAAGACAAAAACGAATGAACCCTTCTAGATGCAGATGATTGACTTCTAAGGCTGATAGAGCAAAGTTGAGCTTGAAACCTTCAAGTCATTTGAAGAGAACAAGCCACTTGATTAATCTCCTTGGTTGACTAAGCCAAATTCAACAAAGAAAAGTTGCCATGATTCCAACCATAAAAACAAATTGACTGTATTCTTTGTGTGGACATATGGTTTGAACAAAGCCAAAAAAAAAAGGAACTTGTAATAAGGTTGCCCAAGATACTGTGCATGCCCTAAAATTCCTGTATAAAATTGTTCACGCCATTACTTAGCCAAATGGATTTTTTATAATAATTTAACTAGTAAGACATTTAATGACTTCACTCAACTATTCCCCAAAGGTTGACTACTACAAGGTGAAACCAACTAGATGGACTATGTCGACTACTTATCATCTTTTCCCAAATGGCCTTCCTGAGAACTCAAAATGTTTGGCTTGCTGAGATTAGACAGGTGAGTGCCAAAAATTGAGATGGGGTAGAGATCAACAAGGGATATATAATGCCATACTTAACAATATTTCCACTTGCATGCACAAGGCTTTAGACCATATGTGCAATAATGATGCCATTGGTATTATTGGGAATATGTTGTTGCATATAGAATAATACCTCCAATGATCTCTCTCAAAAAGAAAAAAAAAATGCAAGAAAGCTAGAGAATTGAATTTCAAACATAATTCATTCCAAAATCGGATGAGCTTTGGGAATTGCAATCACACATGTTAATAATAGCCCAACTAAACTCTTACACATGAAAAGAAGGGAAGTTCTTGCCAACGAAGGAGATCGTCCCTCATAAAAAGTGTATATAAAACATCTTAGCCCATTGGGGCGAACTACAAAGGAGTTTGTTCCAAGCAAAATGGATTCAAAGGCATTTATTTGTGAACATATGCAGTAGCCTGCGGGCGGTTAAACCTAACTTTAATGAAGATTAGCTATCTATTCTTGCTCTCTCGTTTTTCTCTTTTTGGGAGATACTTTAGAAAGCTCTTCTCTTCCATTCCTCTCTTAGTGTAATCCAGGAGTGCCTTTCTCCTCACAACACAACATATCTCTTTTAGACATGGCCTCAAGAAAAAGAAGAATCTTTGAATAAAAAGAGATGAGGCAACATTAAATTGTTGGTGAAGCTTGAGGTCCTGTGATGTTTTGTTATATAGATAGAGTCTAATGATTTAATCTACAAGCTCAATTTTGTGCTAAGAATGATGGCAACCAGAGACATTGCCCATCCACCAAAAGTTTTGGTTGACATTGTGCTTCTGTTGTTTGCACTCAAGCATTTTAAGGAAGTCATTTAGGCAAAGGCGATGTTTGCAAACTCGCCTAAGAATGTGAGGGTAATAAACAGGGAGAAATTTTCCCTAGTAACTCATTCTAGAGCCATTCTAACATTTTTTGTTGTCCTTCACAGAAGTGATCTGTGATGAATATTTAAACCAATGTTAATAGAATTGGATCAGACTGGTTCGCTTGAGTGGTACAACTCTAAACCAGCCATATTATCGGTGGGTTTAACCTATGGGGACAACCTAAGCATCGAAGTAGCAAGAATTTGTTAAAACCGACAGTTCAACTAGTGAATCATGGAACCTGTCTTGATTTTGTAAAACTGTATGGTCCAATTTTCATGCTTTTAATCACCTTTAATCATTGATCCAATGACTCTGATTAAGTTGAGCTGATTAATCTTAAAATATAATATTTTAAATTTGTATTTCAAAAATTCTACATGATGAAAACACATAAAAACAAGCTGAAGATCTGATTTGATCTGCTTAGTGGGTGTACCACAGCTGCCCCCACTTTCAAATAATTAGGTAATTTCTTAAGATTAAGTTTCTACACAATTTCTTGAGCCTCGTCTTTATTACAAAATTTCCACAGCCATGTAACTTTGTGAAGCATTCCTTAAGCAATGCCAATCTTCCGTGTAAGCCACGAGATGTGTTTTGTAATCAGTAGACTTGATGTCAAGGTCTTTTTTCTTCCATCGTAACTTAGCCTTTGGAGTAATTTAAATGAAAAAATAGAAGATATTTCTTTAAGCATTACCACTGCCTATAAAAGCTATCTTAACTAAGGTCTGATCAACCATTGCATTACTCTAACTTTGGATATCTAGCCCTATTTATATCACCATTTTTTCTATTTCTATTGGCTTGCTCTGAATCCCGGTGCAGCTTCTTTGTGGGTTATTTTAATCCAACCTTTTCAACTATAATATCTTTATCTTACTGTGGACATATGTTCAATATTTCAAAATTTATGTAATTGCTCTCTCAATCTCTGGAGGACATGCTTTTACTCTTTATTACTTGTGTGACCACATGCTCTTGTGTGTACAAAGAAATTCACAGCAAAATTCTATGCCTATAAATAGCGGTTATTTGTAATCAATTTTCACACATCAATTAAATTCATGAACTCAATGAATCATTTGATTGATTATTATGGCAATAGCTCACTCCCTATTTCCCGTCCCATTCTATTCACCAACACGTATGCCCATGCCCTTCACCTTGCAATTTAAGTAATAAGGCTTACTCTAGCATCCCAAGTCCACCTCCAACTCTCTCCATTCAAGATCTACAAGGAAAGGAGATAATGTGGGTTGCCATTTAGAAAGAGAGGAAGCATTCAAGGAGACAATCATGGAGAAGAGATCAGTAAGCAAGGAAAGCAAGGAAAAATAAAGGAGGTGATCCAAGTACAATATGTTGCAAGTCAACTCAAGCGGCGTTTTGTAAATCTTCGTCAATCTCAAGTTTTGCCTTTTGTATTTTGTTACCCTCCTTAATTTCTGTAGACTATACCTGTAAAATTTGCATACTTCTTTGCATGTTCAATAGTATTTAATTTTCCTTCTGTTTTTAATGCAATAATTAGAGCTCGAAATTAGGGTTTCAATTAGAAGGGGCCCATAATATAAGCTTTCAAGTATTTTCACATTTTTTTTCTTCCACTAGTATTGCCTTTCAAGGCTAGCTCTATAAAGTCTTGGTAATATTAGTTTGTGTTTTGATAACCATAGCCAAACATAGCTTTCAATTGTTGGAGCTTTATGTCGCATTGTGCATCTAGGGTTGAAGAGAACGAGTTGTCACACTCATTCTCTTCAATTTTAGATATAGCATCTGGTTAGGAGTCTAAAAATCAAATCAATATTAGCGTCATGCTTTCCAATTCTGGATCATTGGACCACCTCTTCGACATGACGCACAAATAAAGAACCCTGATTCAGCAAGACTTGAAAGTTTCTCATTCATTATCTTAGCCAATTTCTCTATTTACTAATACTAGTTTTCATGTTTTTGCCAAGCTGTTCTTTTCTCAATCCCTACAAGCTTATACTTCTATTTACTTGAAGCACCACATCAAACCGTCAACAAAAATTCCTTTTTTACATCCACTGATTGGTTTGGAATGAATTCTGGTCCTTCTCTCAAATAACTCATCTTTCTTGTGCCTTCTCTTGATGGAATGATATCAGGAAGGCAGAGAAAAAACGCTGTTATCAAATGGAATAAAATTTAATCTGAGAACATCTGGAATTGTTGAAATCTTGCCATCAAACATAACGTAATTAATACAGATCATTGGTTGTGATTGGAAGTTATTCTTACTTGAATTTGATAGGATTTGCATTTGAAGGTTGATTTAGCTGAATTAAAGGGATATGATAGTCAATTACACCTATGCTGTGATATAAATCTGCCTTGATGTTCAGTAAGCACAAATTTTGCATAGTTTTGTAGTTTTCATCCTCTTTATGCTCACTAGTGGTCTGGACTTGGGCGGAACGTGATTCTGTTTACCATTTTGTGGAACATCAAATTATTTTTGTTATAGTATCTGAATAGGTTGGTGATTATGCTTGAGAAATTTTCTTTTGTAACAGGGATTTCATCTAGTAACATAGTTACATGCGGGCTTGGAGCTATTCAGGTGATAAGCCCATTTTTATTTTGAAATGTATTTAAATTTTCTTTTACCTGATTATCTTATATAAAACTTTAAATATAATTTAGGTTCTCGCCACTGGAACTAATGCATGGTTGTTAGATAAAGCTGGTCGTCGATTATTTCTCATAGTGAGTTTTATTGTGTTATCATTTGTTAGTTCCTTCAGTATACTTCTCTAACCATTTTATAATTTATTTATGCATACAGATCTCCACTTCTGGGACGTCTGCTAGTCTTATCCTTGTTTCGATATCATTCTTTATCAAGGTTCTTTCTCTCATCAATTTTTCAGAATAAACGCCTAAGTTAACGTGTTATTGCTTCTTTTGTATTTGATCAATTTTGTTTGTTTTATTTTTTATTTTTAAAAATACATTTGTTCAATTTGTTTACATGTTTTTTTTATTTATGAAAATAAATTAACATTATTTTTAAAACACTCAAAATATTTTTTTTTTTTGAGATTTTAAAAATAATTATTCTTTAATCAAATTGTCAAATATGTTTTGTTTTAAATCAAAACATAAATAAAATAAAATAAAAAATAAAAGTGATACCAAATAGTCTCGGAGAGTTTGTTGGGAAAAAAATTATTTTTTGGGTTTTATTTATGTTATTTGTTTTCTTAAATATGTTTGTTTAGTATAGATTTTTTTATTTTTTAACTTTTTATTAAAAAAAAATCTATTTTAAAAACAACTCAAAACTAATAACAATTATTTGCACTGTTTTAATAATAAATTAAATAATATAAAATAAGAAACATAAGTGATCCAAAATGGCTCCTAAACTAATATAAGATTATTATCTAAAATCACAACTAGCTATAGATTCAATGCTTATGTTTGAATATAACCATTTTGCTCTCTCAGATCGGAAATATGAGAAAATCGTCAAATTAGTCTTTTTAAATCTTTATATAAGATCGTTTTAGTCCCAAAAATTGTCAATTGGCTCCTTCCTCTTTTCAGATGGAATGAAATAGTCCCCATAAATGACTATAATAGCTTCAGTTTAAAAAGTCTAGGGGCTAATTTGACAAGTTATAGACTCTGAGACTAAAATTGCCCCATCTAAACAGTTAGGGCACTATTTTGGTACTTTACTTACTAAAAATTTAACATAGTTGTGTTTTATTGGATGTAGGGTTCTGTTCCAGAAGGTTCGGACTTGCATTCTGTGCTCAGTGTGCTCTCATTGGTCGGACTTGTGGTATGTTATGGCTGCGTGAATGACTTTCAGTCGTACTTTCTATGTTGTATATAAGTTTGAAAAATAATCTGATTATTTTCCTTTAGGGTTTTGTCATTTTCTTTTCACTTGGGCTGGGCGCCATTCCATGGGTCGTAATGTCAGAGGTAAATGATATAATCTTTATTCTTAAAACTGATTTTATTTCTTTTCTTTTTTTTTCTTTTTGACTTATCTGAAGAACTATTTTAGAATTAGAAAAAAAAAGTTGGTGATGATTCTCCATTAATTATTCAATTATTGGGAGAAGAACAAACTTGAAACTTGGCTTTCATATTAGAAATAAAGTGGTTTTACTGAAGAATGATTCATCAGTTGATAGGACCTCATTAGTTGTAAACCTGGTTATGAGTTTCTCCTTGCATGAGAACTCATTGTGATAATAAATTTTTCGAAGGTAAATAATATACATCCTCCTATAGCGAACTAAGCAAAGAATACTGCAGTGCACAGTAACATTACATTATTCTAGAGGGACCGGAAGACATTTAGCTCATGTTTTTTGAAATTTTAAAAACACAAAGCACAGAATCTTAGATGCAATATTAGTAAAAAAGAATAATAAAACTCAATTAATTTTTCTTAAGGTTATGATGTCTCAGAACACAAAGCATAATCTGACAGATGATCCATCACTATAAGAAGATAGTATACCTTTTAAAAAGTGAAATATGCATTTTTTGTATATATGTAAGGAAACATGTAAGTAAAAATTGAAATTCATGTGTTAGATATTTATATACATAAAAATTGATTGATATATTCTTTCTCAAGTTTTACATTAAATTATATATTTTTTAATTATAGTCATAAAAAATTTTTCTTGAAGTTTTTAATTCATTAATTAAGGACATGCATTTGCTATGCGTGTCCTCTCTTTTTTTAATATTATTTAAATCAGTTACTTCTATCCTGTGTCTGACACGTGTCAAAGTCGTGGTTGAGCCATGTCGGAGCTTTGTTCCTGTTTGATACTTGTCCGACATTGTACGAATCCTTAATTAAAAATGTTTGTGCAATATAGTCTTTACATATTTTGAACAAGTTGGAAGTCAATTATTCTCTATAAATGTAAAAATAAGATAGGCTAAGGATTACTCTAGAGTACATTGCTGCAGTGCACAGTAGCAGTACATTACCCTAGAGGAATCTTGTAGCGAAGTAAGCAAAGAATACTGTAGTGCACAGTAGCAATACATTACTTTAGAGGGACCGAAAGACATCTAACTCATGTTTTTTGAAATTTTAAAAACACAATGCATACACTCTTAGATGCAATATTAGTAAAAAAGAATAATAAAACTCAATTAAATTTTCTTAAGGTTATGATGTCTCAGAGCACAAAGTATAATCTGACAAATGATCCGTCACTATAAGAAGATAACAGACCTTTTAAAAAAAATTCTTAATTAAATGATGCACCACCCCGCTCCTATGTGTCATTGAAGTATATCACCACAAAGGTCTGTGCCGTTTTAATTTTGATTTTGAAAAATATAGGAAAATATGAAAATAGTTTTGAAATGAATATGATTTTTGAAAGTAACATTTTGATTTAAAAATAGGTGAGACCAAACGAGTCTCATATTTTGAATAGTTTGGGTGACTAAGTACGATACCATAAATAATACACTTATCCCGAAGAATAAACATATCATTTGTAGTAGGCTCAATCACCTAAACTAAAGAATTTGTGACATTTATTTGGTCTGCGAAATATTTTATATGAGGTCAACAAATTCCCCTACCTAATATAAGGATTAGATAAAATTTATTTTACCTGGGTTTTAAGTTCCCTATAGAGGCAAACCCCTATAGTTAATTACATCTTAAATGACTGGGGTCACTTAAGAAAACTCTCGATTAAGATCAGTAGTTTTACTATCCAGATTTCAAAATTTAAGTTTCTAAGATTGGACACGGGAAAATCAAATAGAAATGATTCAAAATAGGAACAGTTATTTTACGGAATCCAAAGGAGCGAATGGTAGGGGATATCACAGATCTAGGGAGAGCTCAGTGACATCCCAACTATCCTACTGTTTGGTTTTATATCTTTGAAATAATGTTATTTAATGTTTAATCCTGCAATTTATTTAGAATGTAAGACTTATGTTCACACGATATCTGATCGTGTAAATAACCTAAAAAGATAGGAGGATTTACACCGTACCATACAGTAACCTCAGAATTTTATAGTGTTAGGACTTATAATTGCTATAATTGCACAACATGGTTAAACATGGTTATGCAAAAGCCTAAAGGTGATATGTGAGGGTTTACGCTGCGCTAGACAAACCACCTCGAAATCCTATGGACTGTTATTTAAACTAAGGAAAATAATCGGTGAGAATGTATGTTGATGTTACAGATCCACCTTGAAGTTGTTCATCGTCGTGCTGCCCACAGTGTTCGCTCCAAAGCTCTTCGTAGTAGCACCTCCAGGTTTAATGTTAATCCTATATAACCGCTAGGTTTTCCTAAACTAAGGTATAGTGTGTATCAAAGTAACTAAGCTTGCAGTATAAAAGAAAAGAACAGTGTAATGTACAGTAAAGAGAAAGAACAGTAACATGCTGAAAGAATAATATAACGTACTAGGAAAAACAATATAACATTCTAGGAGAGTAATACAACATGCTAAGAAATAAAATTGCTGCAATGTAAATCACACCTGTAAATTTGGGAAGTCTGCTACTCCTTTAAGCTAGCTATTATTCACTGTATAAATAAAGGAAACATTGCTTGGAAACTTCGAGAAAATTGACAAATAAATATACGACGAATGATTCTGGAAAATTGACGAGTAATAATTTAAATAAAACTATCAAAACCTCGGGAAAGTCTCGGAGAGAAGAGACCACGAGTGCTTTGTCCAAAATTCAATAAAACATATGCAAAAAGTTCAAAAAAAGGGGACTGGACCACAAGCACTCGGGTCGGGGCTAGGCTCAAATATATATTTGTACTTGAGGGACGTCGAATGTTACTCGGTCACCCGGATGTATAAAGCCCACCACTCCACTAGAAGGATGTCCTACTGAACCTAACTTAGGAGGGTACTCCTTAGCCCAGGATCGGGGATCAACAAGTGGACAACCCAAATATAACATATTTTAAAATTTAAGTTTTGGCATGCACATATGTTTCAAACATACAAAAGAAAAGCTGTTTTTTTTAATTTTGTAATGAAAATATATTATATTTTCTTATAAATATCATATCTGTTCTTATCAATTTATTTTATCAATTTTAAAAGGTATAGGTGTCCACAGGTCGATCACGTCATTGGGCCTAAGACCACTAACAACCTCAGAAGGTACGAGTCCCCCTCTAATCTTATGTCGGTGAATGATACTTTCATCCTACAGTTCATCATGTCTTAGAATTGAGTCTTGGTGTTGTAGGATGAGATATCATTCTGCTCTACCACCGGCGTGCCTTTGTCATCATCGCCCTACTCCCCAAAATAAAACTGACCGACTTGCGATCTTGCTTGATGGTTGCACATCTTGATGGTTTCACACATAGCAAAAGACTATACATGAGTACTTATGTATCGGACATAAGCACAGAAAACCGAACCAAGAAGCAAGAAAAAAAAATATAAATGAGGATGAGAGAGAGGAGAAATTAATTCACAGAAAAGATTGAATGAATAAGGGTGAAGCAATCCTCAAAGTTATATAAAAAAGAGCTAAAAATAGAGCCCAAGGTCCTTGAATAAATCCAAGAAGGATATCATTTTCTCAACTCTTACGATTGGATCAACCCATGAAGGGTATCCTTTCTAAGTCTTTGTTTCAAATAGATTGAAATGGGCTCAAGGCTATCATAATGCTATACTCACAACTCCATCACTCATATGAATTTTTATGTCCAAATATGAACCTAAATGTGATGTTTATATTTATCAAGCCTTCATATTATCTTTTCAAACACTTTCACAAGATTTCAAATCATTTCATAAATCCAACCTATATCAACTTCATGATTTTCCAAAATAAAGTACATCCAACATTACATAAAAGAAACCAAATATATGCTCTCAAGTAAGGCCCATAAAAGGGACAAAAAATGATCGCAAAAACCACCACCAAACAGCCTAGAGCAGCTCACGGGTAAGGCCAAGAGGGGGGGCAGCAAAAAGAAAAAAAACGAGCCTGAACCATGTCACAACACCAAAGAAATGCTGCAGCAAGGCTCACGGGTAAAGGGCAGCAAGGGGAAAGCCACCACAGCATAGGCCTACGAGTAGGGGCCAAGAAGAAGAACCCTGAAGGCAGCATAGATCCACTGGTAAGGGCCAGGAAGAAAACCCTAAAGGTTGCAGCGCCAAGCAACTTTCAAGGCCAAAGCAGGAAAAAGAAACCACCATAAATACTACCATTGCATTGTATTTGACATACATAAGAGAGTGAATGGACAAACTATTATACATCATTGAGATCGAACCCACTTTCATCATATAAAGCATGAGGACACTCATATCAAACACTCCCACATAAAGATAGATATTAAAATTCATGAATTTTGGGATGACAAACTTGATTACTAATAACATATCTTAAGGGGAGCATTAAAGAGAAGGCCCCAACCAAGCCATGCCCAACAAAAGTATCAAACCAAATCCAAGGAACAATCCTAAGCAGTGAGAGATTTCAACCAACATATAATACCAAAAGAAGCTCTAACCGAGCCCACAAAAGGGGTAAACCAAACCCAAAGAAAGGTCCAAACATATAAGGAATTTTAACCAACCTAACTCACCAAAAGGAGCACAAACTGAGTCTAGCCCATTTTCTCAATAAGGCCAACCCGAACCCAGCAGAAAGGGGAAAGCCGAGCCCCATGCATAATACAAACCAACTCCAGGCAAGAGTGAAACCAAGCCCAAGGAATAATTCTAACAATAAGGGATTTCAACTAAAATACAACCTCAAAAGGAGCCCAACCAAGTCCAACATATGGGACAAACCAAGCCAGCATGGGGTAAGTCGAACCAAAGCCGAGTCCCACCAAATGGGAGAACAAAAAAAATTTCATTTATAATTTGGTCCAAAAGGGGCTCAAACCGAGCTCAACCACAGTGGCAAAACCGAGTCCA